GCAGAGCCCAGATTGCCGGTGCTTGATGCGCACTGCATTGCTCTTGGAGTCCCTGACAGACTGACTGGGGCCTGGGCACAGATGCGTCCCTGGTCCCATGCATATCCACTCACCCCGCACCCCCACATGTAACCCTGCTGCCAGATTGGTGGCCCTTTCCACCCCGGGCCCACCTCCGTGCACCCAGGTCGACGCAAGCGGATGAGTACCCCCCATCTGGACGCGATGGCCACCATTCTCGCCTCCACCCACCGAACCTCATACATCCAGGAAACATGTCGCTGTGCATGGCCTCCACCCGCGCCGTGTGCGCTCCCCGCGCCAGCCTCAGGATGCAGGTGACGGCTTGGGTGGGGGGTGGGGATCAGGATCCATGGGCGGGCGGCGTGTCGCAGGGGATGCGAGGGCGAGAATGGCTCTGGAGAGGTGCACCGTCGAGGGTTTGACGTAATTCATAGTGTCGGCAGGGGAGGGGGCGGGGTCGAGTAGCGGTGTGCTGACAGGTTGGTGCCACCTTCCCACAATGCAGGCCCCCCGCCTGTCGGCGAAGCCCATGCGCGCCCAGCGCCTGGTGTGCCATGCCGTGGTGAGTTGATCGAGAGTGTTGGATTGCGGCGATCAGAAGCAGGTCGGGGACGGGAGGGGGCCACCGACCCGGCCTGGTGGGCGGGGGTGATCGAGGCGCTGACGGAACGACGACGTGCCCACGCAAGCGCAACTCCTTGCGTGTTGCGTCAGGCATGTACCCAATATCCATACCGCAGGACAAGGCGAGCGTGCTGTCCAACGTGCGCTCTATCATCGCAGAGCAGCTTGGCACCGATCTTGACAAGGTGGGGTAGGGCAGCACATGGGTGTTGTTGTGGTGCATTCTGCAAGCTCCTCCACTCCATGGGGTACGACGAGACTTAAAGATGAGATAGGTTTTGATTGCTTACCCTCTATGTTTGTTACCGAATCGGCCTGCAAGTGGTTCCAAGTCTCATCATGCAAGGGCTCGACTCCTGTGTCTGCCTGTTGCCGAGCGCCTCGCCAAAACACATGAGCCCACTCGCGTGTTTTCTTTACAAACATCTCCCAGATACACCCTTTATTTCTACCGTAAGTGCGCTCTCCAAACATCTCATGGAGGGCGGCGCACCAACACTGCCAAACTTCACCACCCCCCATCTCATGGTGTGGACCGCCAACCCAGCAACCTTCCTCCACCACCATGCTTGCCTCGCAGGTGGCCGCCGACGCCAAGTTCTCCGACCTGGGCGCCGACTCCCTGGACACCGTGGAGATCATGATGGCCCTTGAGGAGAAGTTCGAGCTGCAGCTGGATGAGGAGGGTGCCGAGAAGATCTCCACCGTCCAGGAGGCCGCGGACCTCATCTCCGCGCAGATCGGTGCCTGAGTTTGGGTCGCTGTGGCGCTGGCGCGCCACCTCGTACAGATGCCCACATCTAGATGACTCGCCTTCCCCCTCTGACAACCCATGCCCTCTGTGTCTGGGTCCTGTGGTGTGTAAAATCCTGCTGAACTGTGTCCCCAGTATGAAAGGGTTCCTCTCATTGGACAGAGACTAGATTATGGGCAGTGGAAGAACGCGATGCACCCCCACATGACTCCAGAGCCGATGCTCGGTCATCCGAAGAAACATCGCCAGCTGCATGAAGGAGGCCGGGCTCCGTCCTTGTCATCAGAGGAATCTATTCGAAGATCTCGAGGTCCCAGGATCTTTACTGGCGCCCAGCAAGGGGCGGCGAGGGCATGAGCCTCGACGGCGCATGCGCCGGGACGCCAATTTTCCTAAACGACATGCCATTCCATGCGAGAACCGATCACCGAGAAGCCCCGATCCCCGGTGCTGGGTGGTCACCGCACCGGGGCGTATCGGACTGGGTGACGAGGGCGTCCGAGCGTTTGCCACGTTCACCTACGCGCCGAACATGCCGAGTCCACCGCGTGAACGGGTCGGCACAAGGAAAGGAGCGAGAACAGGGGCCCCACCATTTACCTCACTTCCACCGTGGATCACTGTAACAAATATCCACCATAATGAAGACTCTGATCGTGTTGGTCGCCTGCCTGGCGTGCCTCGCCTCCACACAGGCCAGGTACGGAAGGGATTCCAATCTCGGAGCGGCATGTCGGGGAATGACGGGCCGCCCACCTCGCTAACGTGCCATTGGATTGCATCATAGTAGAATCTGAAGCTAAGTTGAAGCCTTGCTATTCCTCAACCGCAGTTCGTCCGCCGCGCGTCTTGGCGAAGTGCGACGTGAGTATGGGGCCTTGGCATGGAGGGCACCGGATCCGCGGGGAAGTCGATAGCTCGTCCATTGGAGGCAGGGGAACAAAGCGTAATGTCAACACGCATGCATGCAACCAGGAATTCCCGGCTGACGACCTTCCTCCACTCCCTGACATCCCGTCCCGTGCAGTAAGGGGCCTCCGCGCCACCGCCTCCCAAGTAGCGACCGGAACCACCGCCTCGGCGGTTGCCAACGCCTGCTCTGGCGCAGGCTGCCCCGGAGGTGACTCTGCCAGCACAAGCGGCTCTGCCACGGGTCCCGGTTCTACGACCTCCGGAACCTCCACAGCTGGGGTAGGTGGTGATGGGATCATGTGGGGCGGCAGCACATGGAGCGCCTGGTGGCACACGAGGAGTTGGAACCAAGTGCATTGGAGTAGTATAGGAGACCGTCTTGGTACACGTGCAAAAGTTGAGCTGCCTTGCATATTGTTAAACTTTATCTGATACCGGAGCGTAGCCCCTCACAGACCCCCATTATCTCAAATCTGCAGAATGTGAGCAACTCCTGCAGCCAGGGTCCCAGCGACTCGGCAGCATGCACCACTCAGGCCATTGCAGGTAAAATGAGTGAGCAGACTATCAATGGATGGTCGTTTTGTTCCCATATGTTTGGATGGTATTGTCGTAACTAAGGACAGACCAGACTGCATGCTGCATGCTGATGTTGCTTGGGTTTTCCCCTTGTTGCATGCGTACTGCCTGGGTTGATTGGGGCTATGCGCTATCGACCAAGGATGGCATGCGAGGCCCATGCGCTTGACTTTGCCCCCCCCCCTCCCCCTGCATCTCCCTCGCCCAACAGATCGCGTCAGCAACTGCACTGATGTCGCACCCGACACGTCGTTCACCTGCGAGGAGCAGGCTCAGCAATTTGACAAGTGCAATGCAGACTTCATCTACCTGTACTCCTTCTGCCTCAAGTCCTGCGGGCGGTGTGGAGGTGAGACTTGATTGCTTGTGGGTGCTGATGTGCTTGATGGGGCATGGCCTGCGTTCAAGTGCCACGCCGCATGCATATGTGCCTTCGTGGTGCCGAGGGTATTTGAGGCACGATACGCAGTTTGCAAGGCAACAACGGCTTGCTATTGAAGGCTCTGAGAGTGAGCCTTGTTCAAGGACGTCGGAAATCCCTTCACTCTATCCTTCCACCTCCTGGCTTCCACCAGATGGGTGCTCTGACACCCCGCCAGCGGGCGGCAGCTGCTCAGCCGATGCCTGCGACTCCGATGCCATGAAGGCGGGCCCTTACTGCCTGAAGACGTGCAACAGGTGCAGCTCAGTGGCGGCTTCTTGAAAGGAGAAGGGAGCATTGTGGTATTAATCGCAGCATTACCGCCCTCAAACATGCTTGGAGGAAAAACGTGCTCTCCTGGCACACTTATAAACAGCAGCTCGGGGAGCCATATGTGGAAACTACCGAAGGTATCTTTCTACCCTGAGCCATTGCCCAGTGATGTCCTGTAACATGTCGTGGAAGGATGATGAGCAGGGTTTTGAGATTGATCGATCTCGAATCCTCGGTGAGGGACAAGGGCTATCACGGATCACGTCACTTTTGGGCCGCGGGTCATACCTTGGCACGTTTTTCAGGGGTGTTGCGTCTGAGCTTACCAGTGTGTCACAAGCTCTCAAATTGTGCGTTGAGATTCCGATCGATCCTGAAGGGTGAGCTCGGGCGAGTCCAGCTCCTTCGCACGGCCCTTCTTGCGCACGTCCAGCCGAGTCGGTCGGGTGGCCGTCCAGAGTACGGCATGATCTCTGCCAAGGAGGTCGTGCTAGAATACATTGTGCCCATATTGGGTACCATCATATGTGAGTAGCTGCATTGCCAGATTCTCCCCGCTGAGGTTGGGCTGCCGACCTCCAGGGTTTTTTCCGTCTAGCCGCTTCTGCCGACACCCCCACCCCCCCCCGACTCGACCCCACAGCCTGCATCATGTTCCTTGCCAGCATGCCGGCCGTCCTGAAGGCCAGAAGGACTCGTGATCTGGGGGTGAGTCGAGGTGGATTGGCAGTCACGATGACCCTGAGAGATTTGTATGGGACTCCGTCGCGCGGTGGCCGCCTCTTTTCTCCGGGCATCCGACCCCCTTCAAATCAGCCCCCCTTGTATTTGCAAACTTCGCCTTCATCCCCCATCCCCACCCAACGCCCGCCCACATGCAGCCCCTGAACCTGATCCCCTACCCCGCCATCATCGTCAATTGTTTGGGGCGCGTGGCCTACAGCTACGTCATCGTCAACTACTACATGCTGACGGCGGGGTCGGTGGGCGCCATCGCCGGCCTGTTCTACACCATGACCTGCTCCGGCCTGGCCCCGCAGCGCACCTTGGACATCATGGCCGGCATGCTGGTGGTCCTCACCACCGCCATGATCGTGGTGGGCGCGGTGGGCTCCTTCCGCCACCTGGCCCACGCCGAGCAGCGCCTGCTGTGGGGCTACGCCTCCAATGTCCTGCTCATGGCCTACTACGCCTCCCCGCTCTCCACAATCTGGACCGTCCTGCACACGCGCTGCGCGGCCAGCCTGTCCGTCCCCATGGCCGCCATGAATGCGCTCAATGGCGGGCTGTGGCTGGCCTATGGGCTGGCAATCCACGACCCCTTCATCTGGGTCACCAACGGCGTGGGCCTGGGCATCGCCATCATCCTACTCTCCTGCATCATCATGTTCAAGAACGGGCAGGCAGAGGCAGGTCTCGCCCCCGCCATGTACGCCTGGGTGGGGGGGGGGGTTGGTCTGACGCCCGTTGACCCCACAAACCACTTGTACCCTGCCTGGCTGTGCGGACTCGGGCCCAGGCCCCAGCGTGTGGATGCTTGGCGTTGAAGACACACCCCTTCCCTCTCATTACACCACACACCCCATCAAGCACATGCAGGAACAGTTCCCCTTCCAGGCAGAGCAACAGCTTCTCCATGCTGGGGCAGCGCAAGGAGGACGGCGTGGAGGTGGGGCAGCGGGAGCCAGACCGGACGCCCTGTCCCTCCACCGGGGAAAGGATGCCGGAGCGGTACAGCCCGTACTGGCACATGGCAGGCGCAAGCTCCAAGCTGACGTGATGGGACCTGGCACATGTTATCGCTGGCCCGCGCAACACCCCTGGCCAGAGAAATCTCATCCCTCCAGGAACAAAACTTCCCTGTGGTGCCAAATATTGCACGCCTTCCCCAATCCCCAACAAATGTCCTCCCCACTGCATCCCAGTGTCGGCTCACCTTCACAGCACCTCATTCTGGAATCTTGTACACTAATTGTGCCCCTTGTATTGGCTGCCCTCTGTTCTTTGGGGCCTGGCTGTCTGATAATTTGCCGCCCATGTCGCTTTTCAGTCTTGGAATTGAGGACGTTGTCCTTTTGTAATCATGGAGCTTGTTCACGCCTGAATGACGTGGTATTTCTGCACAGGGGCCCTTTTGGAGATCCGGTTGCAACACCCAGCCACCCTTCAAATTGGCGGCTCGATGACCATTTTCAACCTAATGTCCCGGCACCGCGCCTGTCCATGTGGGACAAGCGGAAGCATTTGATAAGATGCAATGCTTTCTGATAATGAATTCAACTATATACCTCGTCTGAACCAAGACGCCTTGCCAGCCTCGTCAGCGCTGGGAGCGAGCGAGGCGGAGCGCATCTTCGCGGTTCGGGCGCGCCCAGTACAGGACACCTGCGCTTGGTGAGGTCATGGGCCAAGCTTGCCAACGCAGACACAAATACTTATTCAGCTGTTAAAATAGCTTTCCAGCATCCCTTTGATCGGGAGGGGAAGGGGAGCTCCTCCCAGCAATGACGTCCTCCAAGGAGGTCGTGCTGGAGTATGTGGTGCCCACCCTGGGGGCCGTGACAGGTGCGTGGAGCTTTACGAGGGACGTGGATTACGTATTTGGGCCCTGAATCAATTTCCATAGCTGCGAGATGCCCCCATCCCCCACATCTCGTCCGGACCCTCCCCGCGCACCTTGCCACACGCAGCGGTCCTCATGTTTCTGGCCAGCATGCCCGCAGTGCTCCGAGCCAGGAAGTCTGGTGAACTAGGGGTAAGTCTGCCGCATTCGTGCTGGCGGACCGGCAGGCTGTTCCAGGGTATTCCGCGGTCGCTGGACGCGAGTTCTGTTCCCTCAAAGCCAGTGCCGGGGCCTCGCCTGTCAAGCTCACCGCCCCTCCAGCAATGCAATCCCGCGCCCCAAGGCCCATCTCCAGACCCTTTCCCCACCCCATCCCGCCCCACTCTCAGGAGTTGAACCTCATCCCCTACCCCGCCATCGTCGCCAACTGCGTGGGCTGGGTGGCCTACGCCATGGTCGTGGCCAACGGTTTTGTGCTGGGCCCAAATGCCATCGGCTTGGTGCTGGGCCTGCTCTACATCTTCGCCTGCGCCGGCCTGGCCCCGCAGCGCACCCTGGACGCGATGGGCGCCGTCACCGTCCTCTTCACCGTCGTGCTGGTTAGCGCGGGGGCGGTGGGGACCTTCCGCCACCTGGACCACGCAGCGCTTCGCTTGCTCTGGGGCTACACCAGCAACGCCATCCTGCTCTGCTACTATGCCGCGCCCATGAGCACGCTGTACCATGTGCTGTGTGAGCGCCGCGCCGACAGCCTGTCACTGCCCCTCTGCGCCATGAATGCGCTCAACGGCGCGCTATGGCTGGCCTACGGCCTGGCCATCCACGACCCCTTCCTCTGGGTGCCCAACGGGGTGGGCATGATCATCGCCCTGGTCCTCCTCGCCGCCATCCTGGTGTTCTGGAGGAACCGGGGCGTTGCCACGCCCACACCAGAGCCCGACATGTGTGCTGGGGAGGATGGGGGAGGGGTGTGTCTGTTTGAGAAGGGGGAGGGGGGATATGGGTGTTTTCGACCTTGCAGCTTGGCAGGTATGGGCATCCTCGCCTGCAGGGAGTTGACAACCCTAATCGCAAAGAGAGACGCGCCGACTCTGTACTCTGTATCTTGCCTCGCTTTGCGTCCAGCTGGCTGTACCGGCGCAATGTGGCATGACCGATTCATCATCAAGGATCCCTTCCTGAAACCCTTCAACCTCATACATTCTCAACCGCCACACCTGCCCCCTGTACAGTGAGTCTGACACCAAGAGTGGTGCATCCACCCCAGTCCAAGGCTCGCAGGCAGACCTGACGACGGCGGCAGTGACCGTGACACCCTCAAGATCCCCCCCGCAACGAAAGCATGTGGCGGAGTTACCAGAAGCGATCTGAGGACGTATGAGCATGGACGAACCCCGTCCAACCAGGAATGGGGATTTCCTCCCTGTGTATGCCTCATGAACTCCTTGCGCATTTTCGGTATCATCATCCATCTGGAGAGTCCGCTTTTACCCTTCCCCCCCTCCTGGGGTGTACTCCATTTTTGCTCAATGTTTTGCTCTCTGACCAGGAGAGCCCAGCCTATCAAACAAACTCCCGCACACTGTTTTTGTGCACTGCATCTTTTAACGAATGTTTTTTACCGGGGCTAGAAGATCACAATCTCATTTGAGGATCCGTTCTGCAACGGCTTAATGCCTTGCGTCAAGGCCAATTAGAAAGCACGCCTCGATTTCACGAGATCAGCGCAGCATCCGTAGCATACAGACCGTGTGACATGATGAAAGGATGCATGCGCATCACCTCATGCGCTCACTGCGAAGGCTGCCTTCTCGGTATGCATTTATCGTATTTGTGTCGAGCGGTCATGACGGGCAGGATGCTGCGACCAAGGCCGGCCAGGCCCCTGCCTGCCAGTCGCGGCACAAACCCTACTGCGCGAAATGTGGCATCGATGGGGGTGCCCGCCGACAAGGACGCCCCGGCAATTGAGACACTGCTGGTCATGAACGATACTGTTGCCGCAACATCCCTCGAGTCGCAATCTCCGGCCAATGCTGGCCCAACGGTGGGACTGACCATGGCCACCCTCCATGAGGCAGTCGAGCACCTCAAACAGGTGGACGCACGTACGTCGATGAGATCGGGACCCTCGCATCCTGGTTGCAATGCATGTAGTAGGCATGGGCATGTACATCAGAAAGGATGATCTCTCGTATGTCCAGGAGCGCCTGGAGCGCATTTGCCGGCATCATACCACAGCAACGAATCCCGACAGGGCTGCTACCCCTCATTGAGGAGCATGGTCCACCCAGTGGACTCCTGGCCAAGGAGGGATCGAGCTTTGCAGCCCTGGCCCGATCCATAATCGGCCAGCAGCTGGCCACCAAGGCCGCAGCTGTCATCTTCCAGCGAACTCTGGAGGCTTGCCAAGTGAGACTTGGCGAGCCGTGCTTGGAGGTCCAAGTGGAGGGGGGGGGGGGGGGGCGTGTGGCTATGCAGCTCCATGATCTGGACCCTCAGTGCGCATGGAGGCACCTGCACCAATTGCCTCTCAACCCGCCCCAAACCAGTGCCTAGACACCGGCTTCCTCACCCCTGAATCCCTCACAACGACGGACATGGCCGCATTGCGAGCCTGTGGTCTATCCCAGAGGAAGGCCGAATACCTCACGGGCCTTGCCCGCCTCTTCTCAGATGGGGTGCTCACTAATGAGGGCATCCAAGGTCAGGGGGGTTGGGTTTGCCAAGGAGAGTGTGGGGTCGGTGTTGGGGGTTGGTAAATCACCTTTAAGTGGGCCTTGTGGGCTGGATTGCTTCATCCCAAAGTAGGTTGCTAAAGCCAATTACCCACTCACCTGCCACCCGCCCGAATGCCCAGGCATGGACGACGCAACGCTCACTATGGAGCTGACGAAAGTTCGAGGACTGGGTCAGTGGTCGGTCCACATGTTTGGTGAGTTTTGGTGAAGGTGTCGAGATGGAAATGGCAGACCGACGTGCTCTTGCCCCCGTCGTGCTCCTGCAGCTCGACGTGACATTATTGACCGCGGCGCAACCCCCTTGTGCAGCCATGTTCCACCTGGGCCACCCTGACATCTTGCCAGTGGGGGACCTGGGGGTGCGGAAGGGCATGCAGTGGCTGTATGGGCTCAAGGTGAGTGGATGTGGAGGGTGCAGGTGTCGGAGCGGGCTGCATTTTTCTCAGGAATGGGAATGTAGGGAGATGGGCGTTTTCTTGTCTCCTGACATCTTGGGCACGAGGCCACATTCTAGTCCGCCTTTGAAGTCCAACACAGGACTTCCTCCCATCCCATCCAAGGCCGCAATACACCTCACAGGACTTGCCCGCCCCTGAGACGATGGAGGGAGTGGCGGCGGCCTGGAAGCCGTATCGTAGCGTGGGCAGCCACTACATGTGGAGCGCCGCCGCCTCGGCGCCGCGCTCACCCAACAAGAAGAAAGCGCAGTCTCCCGCAAAAAGGAAAAAGGCAGCCGCTGCTGGAGAGCTTGATGGCGAGAAGCCGACCTGATCTGCTTTTCAGTAGTTTTCCCTGTAAGAACAGTTATGCACACATGTTGTGCCCTGCACTTCTCTTTTACTGCTGCCATCCTGCCCGTTGATCCCTTCCCATCGACAGATCTTATGCTCAAGCTGCGCGGTCTCACAATGACTCAACATGTAGATCAGTAACAGGGGAGAGCAAGGGTTCAGGATGGGGCACGGGCAAGCACTGCTCGCGAGGCTTACCCCAGGCCCACATCTCGCCATGCTTTCTTGAACGCGGTGGAGCATGCCGCCGCGGCGACGGTGATGGGGTGGCCCCTGCCATTGTACGCCCCCGCGTTGCGCCACACCAGCTCCACGTCGGCCCGCACCTGGGCGGGCGTGGCGTAGTCCTCCCCCTTGAGCCTGTCGGAGATGGTGCCCAGGTCCATGGGCTGTTTCACCACCGCGCCGTAGTCGGGGGCGTCCTCGGCGCGCACCGGCGCCCAGAAAGGGTAGCTGATGGACAGCGCCTGCAGCTTCTTCAGCACCTGCGTCGGGCCGGGGGTGGGAGGGAGTGGGGGACTGCTGGATGTGGCGGGTCGGTGATAAAGGAAATCTGACGTGTCGCTGCCATGCGCTGCCATCCGAGCAGCCTCCCCGCAAGGCAGTGACGGCAATCCAGATCCTCAAGCAACCCGACCCACCTTGAGGGCCGGCTTCCGCCAGTTCAGGGCGGGCCCGGGCTTGGCCGGAGCAGGGGCATCCGTGCTGCCAGCCTCCGTCGCCGCGGCGGGATTCAGTGTCTTGGGCAGGTCCGCCTCCTGCCACAGTGCGTCGAGCGCGGCCTCGGCCGCCGCCGCCTCGCCCACCACGGGCGCGGTGGGCAGGTTGTAAGCCCGGCAGTTGGACCAGATCTTGGAGGGGCGGGGGGGGATGGGCGACGTGAGGGCCGGCGATGGAGTCTGACCTCATCTCGGACACCGGGTGAGCCTTGCGTCTGAAAGGGCGGCATGCACCCCCGCATGTGACCAGCATGATTGACCCAGGCGCCTGGCCCAACCCACCAAGGCCACGTCAGCTTCCAGCTGGGTCAGGGAGGTGTAGGCGCCCTTGGCCAACTTTCGCTGTATGGTCTGAATGTCCATGGGCTGCGTGAGGGGGGTGGAGATACGGTGGGGATGGAGAAGGATTCCGGAGCAGGCACCTCGCTGCCATGGGGATGTGGGCGAGCTCGGAGGGCGCTGGTCGCTGTGGACGCATGTGGTTCCGATGCACCGGGAGGCAGCGGTCAGTCGGATCCAACGGGTGGCTGCGTTTGCTCGAGCTCAAGCATCGCACCAGGCAGCCGATGACCCTCCCCCTCCCTTCCACAAGCAGCCCCCCTCGCCTGCTTGGTAAAAGTGTGGTAGTCGACCAGGGATTTGGGCACCGGCTCCAGGAAAGCGCGCGCACACCGCTTCCGCGCCAGGGCCTGCAACGTGGCGCCGACCCGCGTCGCCCAGTCTGCGGGGACGGGGCGGTTGGCGGCGGCGATGGCCGCCTGGATGGCGGCCGAGGTGGGGGGCCGCACCCTCAGACCCCGGCACGGTTTGCACAGGAATGGCGCCTTGGAGTCCACCTCCTGTGGAGAGGGGCCGGGAACAAGGAAGATGTGGCTTCAGGGAGTCTTGGGCGTCGGGTGATGTGCGAGCTGCTTTTGAGCCGCCACTCCAAGGATGTGAGCCTAGACCACCACATGCATCCTGAATACTTGCATCTGGATCACACCAGGAACCCCCCACCCCATTCCCCAAGGGGTGCTCATTCAGCTCAACACACCCACCCGACCCCAAGTAATGGGGTCTGCCTTGCACACGTCACGGCCTCCACCAACGCCCTCCTCCAGCCCCTCCCCTCGACCTCCTCCACCCCGTCCCCTCGACCCCCTCCCACCCCCCTTCCCCTAACCCCCCCTCCCCCCCTTTCCTAACCCCCCCTCCCCCCTTTCCTAACCCCCCCGTCCCCCGCCCACACCCACTCACCTTGGCCGACACGCCCGCGCATTCGTAGTGGAACCACATCTGGCAGGCATCGCAGCCCAGCAGGGGCCTGCCATAGTCCGGCAGGCGGCAGACGGGGCAAGAGATCTCGGGCCCCGCCGCCTCTGTCGCCGGTGGTGCTGCGACCTGTCCCCGGCGCCGACCCTGCGCCTGCTCGACTGTCGAGACGACAGCAGGGTCAGGTTCGCGCAACGCGCTTCCCGATGCCTTTCTAGAGGTTATGACGGGAGCCGCCTGCGCGACAGCCTGGGCGCCGGTGATGACCGGGGCCAGATCAGGGGCAGCTCCCTGCATCGGAACCGGCGCCGACGCGCCGGGCGTGGCGCCGCCCGCCGCGTCACCCCGCGCCTTGGGGGGCCGGCCCCTGGGCCGCTTGACGACCTCCCCTCCCGGGGACGCCGGCGCCTCCCGCCGCTTCAGGCTGCCGGTCCCGCCGTGTGGCGTGGGCGCGGCCGCCGCCGACACGCCCTGACCCGCCGCCCGCCGGCGGGAGGAGTCCCGGGCGCCGGCGCAGCAGCGTGGGCAATTCCAGGCGGCGGCCTCCGGCAGCGAGGCGATGTCCTCCGCGGACAGCGACACGCAGTCGCCATGGAACCAGTCGTCGCAGGCGTCGCAGGCGATCCACGGCTCGTCGGCCGCCTCGCCCTCCCACGGCCCACCGCAGCGCGCGCAGGCGCTGCCCGGCTCGGCGCCGCCGGGCGTGGCGGCGCGGGGCCCCGCGCCGCCCTCGTCCCCGGACTCGCCCCGCCTCTGGCGCCGGGGTCCGGCGGGGGCGCCACCGCCGCCGCCGCCGCGTGGGCCCGTCCCGGGGCCTTGCAGCGCGCGTCGCGCGCGGTCCTCGAAGGTTTTGACGGCCCAGAGCGGGACCTCCGCCTCCGGCAGCCACAGGGGCCGCCCCGCCGCCCGCCGCTGGTGGTCGGCCAGCGGCTCCGGCTCCGGCTGGGCCTCCCTCTGCGCCGCGTGGCTGGCCGCCTCGGCCAGGCGCCCCGCGCCCGCCGCCAGCATTGCTGTGCGCGGAGGGGGTTGTGGAGCGCGTGAGGCGTCGGGCGGGCTGAGCGTGGTGGGTCGAGCGTGCTGAAAACAGGAGAGTCGCTCCCCGCTGCAACCACCGCAAGGGAAGCTCATCGCTGAAGGCCCCTGCCTTGTGGCCTGGCCTCACCCGGCCCCATCCCGGGGTCAAAAGGCAGCCGTGCCTCCCCCACGCACCGTGGCGGCGGAGCTTGGCGGCCATGGCGGCGCCCTCGTCCATCCCGCCAGCCGCCACCAGCGCCTTGGCGATGGCCGAGGCCACCAGTGCTTGCACCAGCGCCGCGCTGCCGTCCCCGGCAGGGGCAAACCCTGTCGAGACCCTGGTAGAATTTTGTGGAGAGCGTGAATGGATGAGAATGGATCCATTCTCTCCGATCTGGGCGAGGGCATGCCCGCGATGACGACAGAGGTACCCAGGCCGTCCCAGAACATCCACCGGAAATGGCATCTGTGCGGTTGCACTCCACCGGAACTCTGCTCGGCCCTTCGGCAACCACGGCGAGCTCACCGCTTGCCGGCGGTGTTGGTGCGCTTGGCTGTGCGCAAGCTCGCCAGCACCGTGCACCCTTTCTTCGCCGCGGGGTTGAGGCAGTTGGGGCACCGCCCGCACCGCCGCGTGGCTGGAGGCGGAATGTGGGGTAAGAGGCAGGGTTGAGAGGGCTGGAGAGCGCACACCACACGCGTCGACGCACCCCGCTCCCCCGTGACAAGGCACACCAGCCCAACAACAACGACAAAGCCGCTCCCCTCACATGACTTTGGCTTGTCGCCGGGCTCGGACGCCGGTCCGTCCACCGCCCCGTCCCCCCGCCCATCGGCGGCTTCCGCCTGGCTGCCGCTGGCCTGCGCCTGCAAGCTGGGCGCAGGCGTGCCCTCCGCCTCGGGCTGGGCGCGATCTCCTGCCCCGACCCCAGGCGTGGGCAGGGGCTCGGCGGCGCAGACCCTGGCCGCAGCCGGCGTGAGGGACGCAGACCTCGGCCCGTGTTGCACTGTCACAGAGCCCGGCGCGTCGGGGAAGCCGGGGGACAGGAGCTGCGCCGTGAGGCCGGGCGCCACGGTCGAGGGTGCCGCGGCCGCGCCCGCCACCGTGTCGATCTTCGGCGCTCGGCCACCCAGGCCTGGGTCGTCCAGTGCGCTGGCACTTGCGTCTGTTGCCCCGGCACCCACACTCCTCGCACCGGCGCCCGCAGCCAAGCCCGCGCCAGCCAGCGGCGCCGGATGCTGGTCGGGCAAGGCCCTCGGCCCACCCGCCTCCTCCCCCGCCTCCTCCCAGCGCACGAGGTACTCAAAGGTCGCGGGGCCGCCCGGCGCTGCGTCAGGGGGAAGGCGCCGGTCCACGACCTCGAGCCCTGCCTCGCCGGGCGCCAGTGCCTCGGGCTTGGGCCGCGCGGCCGCCTCCCAGCGCAGGCCGCGTCCAGTTCGCGCAGGCACATCGCCAGCTGGCAGGCCGTCTGCGCGCGCTGCGCGCGGGAAGCCCAGGCCAGGCGCCGCGGCGCAGTCCAGCGCCCGTGCGCGTCGACCTCCGCCTCGGGCACGGGCCGGCGCCCGCCCCGCCTCGCCGCCTGTGCGGGAGGGGACGCGGGCGCGTCGAATGGACTGGATGGCACGGCGGCACGGCTGAGAAGCGGGCCGCGCGTGATCTCCCCACGCCATGCTGCCCCTCCACCCCGTTGAAGGTGCTCTGCATCCCATTCCACCCCCCTAGACCCACCCTGGACCCCCACACCCCACGCCACCTGTCTGACGATCTCGATGGGCAGGCGGGACAGCGCGCTGCGCACGCTCAGGGGCCGCGCGTTCAGCTCCCAGCCCGCGCGGCGCGCGGCGAGGGCCGCCCGCCGCCGCGCGTGCGTCTGCGGCCGGGCGCCGTCTTCTGAGTCGCTGGCCTCCCGGGCCGCGGCGCCGCCCTGCGCGGCCAGGTCAGCCCCGGAGGCCGAGCGCGACACGCCGGGGGTCCGCCGCGGCCCGCCGGCCCCTGCGCCGGCCCCTGGTTCGCCGCCGTCCCCGCCGCGGCGCCAGTCCTCCGCCGTGCAGCAGGGGCGGAGGGCGCGCTCCAGCTGGACCAGCAGCCCGCCCAGCTGCGAAGGAGGGGAGGGACGAGGAGGGCGCTGGAGTGAGTGAGGGGGTCTTCACATCACCCTGTGCGCGACGCCGCACGCGGGAGGGCGTGCGACCACGCCAGCGGGGACAGAATGTGGTCCGTGCCGCCACATGACAGCAACCTCATCCCACCAAAGGCAAACCCCACCGCAAAGGCTGCCCTCACGTCGCACCTCCTGCACGTTGGCGGCGACGCGGACGGCGGAGCCCCAGGCGATGCGGTGCACCGCGCCCTCCTCCCCCGGCCATGGCCCCCCGGCCAGCGCCCAGAACTCGCGCTCCATCTTCAGCAGGCCCGCCAGCAGCACCTCCAGCTTGGTGGTCTCGGGTCCCTCCCCCGCCTCGTCGCCCTTGACCAGAGGGTTCAGGCACCCTTTCCTCAGCGAGGGGCGCAGGCAGGTGTAGCACTTGCCGCAGCGCACGGTCTGGCGGTTGGTCGCGCGCCCCTGCGACGCGAGCGAAAGCGTTTGAGGGTGGGTGGGTTGGGGTTGGGTGGGTGGGTTGCAGGATCTGGGTGGGGCCATGAGGACCCTGTGGCGGCCGCACGTGCCGGGTGGCGGGGGCCCAGAGAGGTCCAGGCCAGGGCAAAGTCCTCCAGGGCACTCCGGCCCCAGCTTCGGCACTGGGCTGGCCCAGGGTGCATCAACAGGTGACCCTCGCAGCTCGATCCTGGGCGCCCGCCACAAGCGTCTTCCCCCCCAAGCACCGTATACTCATGCACGGGGGGAGACCCAGCCAGGCGCCTCAGCAGCCTACCTGCAGGAACACCCACTGGTGCTTGGAGACGGTGAGGGGCGCGATGGGCTCCTGGATGGCCACGTGCCCGCAGGTGCCCGTCGGCACCCACAGTTGCCCGCGGCCCTTGCGCCGCCGCGCGTCCTCCATGGCGGCGCGGATGGCGCCGGCCGCCGCCGCCCAGCCGTTGCGGTACGTGTTGTTGTACGACGCGACGTCTGGGATTGAATGCGTGTCGGTTTCGTGGATGTGGGCACGCGGGCAAAGGGCAGCGGAAGGAGGGGAGGGGAGACGCGACACGCCGGCCACATGTCGGGCGACCGTGCAGTCGGTCTGACAGTGTGCAACCCCTGCATCTGACGCAGGACCGGGGGGCCAGATGAGCCATGCCACTGCACCCCTCTCCAGACCCCAATCTCGCTCGGCCCACCTGCCGGCTCGGCATCCTTGCCGGCCTCCACCGCCTCGAAGCTGGAGGGCTCTGGGATCTCGTCGGCACTCCGGATGCGGTGCGCCTGCTTCAGGGCCTCCCGCGCGGCCGCGCCTCGGTACACATACACAGGCGGCTCTGCGGGATGCGCGTTGGAGGTGGGGATACAGGATGTGTTGGGACCATCTTCCCTTCGATTCTACGCTTTGCACAAAGCAGCGGCGCAAGGTGTGCAAGTGGCCAGGCCGCCACAACCCCCCACCCCTTTGCCACGACGCACCTGGCTCCGGTAGCTCTGCCGTCGCCGACCCCCGGCCCCTCAGCGTGGGCATGGCGGCCCGGATCACCGAGCCCTGGGCGAGGTAGTAGGGCTGCTTCCAGGCATTCCTGGCGCCCGGCGGGAGCCTCACGCCCGCAGCCTCGCCTGCAGTTTTGGAGGTGGGAAGAGAGGGTCAAGGGTGCGTGAAAAGGGCCTGCCGCTTGATGAGCATGGCGCCAGGAGGCAGTGGAAGAGCATCACACATGTCGGTCCATCCAAGGTCGCGCCCGCAGGGTCCACGGCCCATCCCTACAAGTCCCAGCCCCGCCATCATCCCACGGCCCCTCATGCACCTGTGTCCTCCCAAAGGCAGGTCCAGCCAAC